ATTATCACAGGCACAAAAAGGAAAAAATGCGGATATTTTCTGAAGATCCTTTTTGTCATCAACTAGTTTCTGAAAATAGTTATACCGTGAGATTTCTTCAAAATACCCGCATAAAACCAATAGGTCTACGTGTACATTTATTTTTTCATTGTCTAAAATTTCATCAGTTTTGATTTCCATTTGTTGAGAATATGAACGAAATAATGAACATTTTTGAAAGTCTGGTTATAGTCTTTACATAATTTATTTTTGCATCACCACTCATAAAAGAAACAATGGATAATGTTTTTTTTACAACGCGTGCAGATTTATAACTACAGTGTACATGTAGTTACAGACAGAAACTGCTTAATTAGGGCCCCGTATCGGAGATACGGGTGCCCTATAGTAATCACTCTGTCTGTCTGTCCGTCCACATATTTTGTTCTTGGCTGATAACTTTGGTTTTTATTTACTGATGTACATGAAACTTGGTCAAGATGTTCAGTTTATAAAAATACACATCGAGGTAAAAAGTCAAGGTCAAAGGTCAAGGTCATTAGGTTCAAAGGTCAAGGTCAAATTTTACATATTTTCACTGATGAATATTTTGTTATGACATTATGGAGCAAAGTTGATCAGAATTAAACAAGAAGTCAACTGACCAAAGGTCAAGGTCATCGGGTCAGGGGTCAAGGTCAAATTTTGTTGCTTTTCACTAGTGAACATTTCGCTATGACATTATGAAGCAAAGTTGTTCGGAATTAAACAAAGAGACACACTGAGGTAAAAAGTTGAGGTCAAAGGTCAAGGTCATGAGATTCAAAGGTCTTGTTCAAATTTTGCATCTTGTCACTGATGAACATTTTGTTATGACATGATGAAGCAAAGGTGATCAGAATTAAACAATGAGTCAACTGACCAAAGGTCAAGGTCATTGGGTCAAAGGTCAAGGTTAAATTTTGTATCTTTTCACTGGTGAACATGTCGCTATGACACTTTGAAGCAATGTTGCTCAGAATTAAACAAGGAGTCAATTGACCAAATGTCAAGGTCACTTGGTCAAAAGTCAAGGTTAAAATTTTGTACCTTTTCCCTGATGAACATTTTGTTATAACATTATGAATCAATGTTGTTCAGAACTTAACACAGAGTCAACTGACCTTAGTTCCCGGTTACTGGGTCCAAAGGTTCAAGTTCAAGTTTTGTATTTTTCACTGATGAACATTTTGATATGATATTAAGAAGCAAAGTTGGTCAGAATTAAAGAATAAGTCAACTGACCAAAGATCAGGGTCACTGGATTAATGGTCAAGATCATTTGGGTCCAAAGGTCAAAGACAAAGTGGATCTCTGACTTTGACCCTGTCTCTTGATGGAGAAGGTATATAAGGTGAAATAAAACAAATCAAAGCTAACAAATGAGTATTGCACCGGTAATTACATTTCTGTTAGCCCAGCAAATATGGAGGTGGAAGGAAACACATCACATCATAGTACATGTAAAATGTATATTTTGCTTCCTTGCAATTCTTTTTGAAGTCCAAATGTCAAACGTCAAGCTCAGCTATATGGGCAGATTGCTTCTTGATGATTATGGGGGATATAATTACCACAAGACGGGACCCTTACTGACCTGTCAGTGTTCTAGTTTCATTTGGTATCATTACCTGTCATACCTCGTTGACAGATACAAAATTTGAAATTTTATCCCGTTTGTTAAGGGAGGAACAGGAATTGAGACTGCATATCGATATAACGACAATCTCAGTTACGTCAAAGTATTACAATGTGGTTTTTTTTAATTTTATGTTTTAACTAACTTCCGTCTTTTCCGTCTTTTCGTATTCCGTCTTTGCGTATTGCAGAGTTATCTTCTCTGGAGAGCAGGTATTGATTGGTACGTCATTTGCTTGTGTAAGAAAATTACGTCGTTTTCTCAAAAATTGATGACGTTACTCTCACATACAAATGACGTAACAATCCATACCTGCTCTCAAGAGCAGATAACTCTGCAATACGTAAAGACGGAATTGCAGAGTTATCTGCTCTTGTGAGCTGGTATTGATTGTTACGTCATTAGTCTGTGTGAGAAAATTACGTTGTTTTCTCAAAATATCATGACGTAACTTTCACAAACAAATGATGTAACAATCAATACCTGCTAACAGGAGCAGATAACTCTGCAATACGAAAAGACGGAATACATTTACTTAGACTTATCGTCAAATATGTAAGATGCACTTTTTTCTATAGCAATTACCAAACAGTTTTTACCCAACTTATCTTAGACATTCTTTTTGTGCCCTGACGGAAGCACGAAGAGGGTTTTATTCTTAATGTAGGAGAAAACTGGAGTATCCGGAGAATATATATGTATTGTGAATACATTTTGCTAATTATCAATGATACAACAAATCCACATGCGGGAGACCGGGGCAAGATCGGCCACCCCTGATATTTTTGTTTTTGAACTAATATTTACAACTTTAAGGATCTTAACAGTTGTGTTGGCTTGGCATTCACACGAAAAAATGGCGAGGAAAACTCTAAAAAATAAATAGTGAACAGGAGAAAATCACTTTTGAGAGGGTAGAAAGAAAATCATGATCTCGCTTCTAGTTATGCGAACTTTCTGTAAAAGGATTGCTACTTTTTACGGTCAAACGTGTAACACACTGACAGCTTCAAATGATATACATATAAGCTAAGCCAAGCATTGCTGTACATTAAAATAAAATTTGGGCCCGAACAGGTTCGGTCAATAATGCCGTGGCAAGTTAGGCCCATGTAACACATAGAAATTCGTAAAGGTAGGGTCAACGCCTATGGAGATTTAACATTAGCGTCGGCCCCCGCTTGGAATTTCAAAACAAGATAAATCCAAAAAGGTATGGGTATAGGAAGCTTACATTTGATTAAAAAAGGGACCTCATTGACTTACACCTGTGTGGGTGTTAAAGGTGCAGTAATACAATTCCTGCTAGAGCATTTAAATGACACAATTGCTATAAAATGATATCGTCATCGTGTGTAACATAATCCAACTGTTATTTTTATACCGATTATTACACTATTTCAATAAAGAATTGTTGTTTTTACTGAAGATTTAAGCAGAAAATTGTATGAAATTTCATTTCTAATGAGAAAATTTCCATTTTTGACACATTAATTTATATAGTTCTAAAACTAGTCTATTTTTCTTACTTGCTGAAAAGTTTGCTACCAATAAAATCTTTCAACATCAGGAATTTCAAAAAAATGTTAACCGGTAAGTTTGTCATGTAACATTTTTTGATCAAAAATAGAAAAACATAGCTTTCTTTCCACATTTCCTTTAACTTGAGATTCTTCATGACTAAAGGTCCTTGGGTCTTGATATTTGGCAAGAAGTTTGTTCATGTGAATAAGTTTAAGTGTTGTAAACATTGATGACATTGACTTTGTTCAAGGTCACAAAATCAAATGTGCTGAAATAAATATTTGGTATGGGGAGTCCGACAAGGATATCTTTCCTTGCTTTATTTGTTTAGAGATAACGATATAAAATAGTGTAATAATCCTTCATATTCTGTTTAATGAATGGGCGATAGGCAAAAAAATAATAACTAGAACTGTAAGCCACAAAATAACTAATACCCCGCTCCTATATAAACCAGAACTGTAATCTAAAGGCTAACTAAGGCAAAGCATTGCAAATATTTAAGTACATATGTCACTGACATACTTGTTGTACTCCCTCCCCGTGCCAAAACACACTTTTATACCAAATCTTGTTAGCCCAGATGAACCAGTTTTGCTGAAATCGTCCTAGTAGTTAAGGAAGAGTTGTCAAGACAAAGTTTTTTAACAAAAAGCCATAAATCCTTAAAAGGGTCGGAATGAAGAAAAAAATACTACCCTTTCTTTTGCAGGATATCAGGGGGTAATTATCATATCTGTAAACTTTCATGGAAATCGGCCCAGAAGTTTATGAGGCAGACAAAGGTTTTTTTTTTCCACAAAGGGCCAAAAAAACCTCCCTTTTTTAAAGGGTCGGAATGAAAACATACTACTTGGATGCACAATGTCAGGGGCAGTTACCATATCTGTAAACTTCCGTTGAAATTGCAGGCCTCATTGTTTTGGAGGAGATGTCTAGACAAGTATTTTTCAACAAAGGGCCATTAATCTGTAAAAAGGGTAAGAATGAAAAAAAATACCTGGATGCACATCATCAGATGGTAGTTACCATATCTGAAAACTTTCGTTGAAATTGACCCCTTAGTTTTGGAGGACATGTCCGGACAAGGATTTTTCAACAAAGGGCCATAACTTTGTTAATAAAAAGGGCCAGAATGAAAAAATGATATCTGGATGCACAACTCCAGGTGTTAGTTATCATATCTGGAAACTTTCGTTGCTTTCATTACTTAAGAAGAAGTTGTCCGGACAAACCTTTTCTACGGACAGATAGACGGGTAGACAAGCTGATTCCAGTCCCCCCCC